ATTGTCAGCTGAGTGATACGCGCGTCCAAATCTTGAGACTTGCCAAATCTCTAATAAGAATGAGGCAGTGCTTCTTCTCTGGTCCCCCCCCCCCCCCCCCCCCCCCCCCCCCCCCCCCCCCCCTGGGTACGAAGCCAATCAATCGAGACTGGGGGGGAGGAGACGGGACTCGTATCAAAACCATTGGAGAACCCGGTCTCCGAAGGGTAAAGCGGACGCCATGGCCCGTTAGGTAGTATTACCCCCGACCGGCGCAGCGCATGTATGTAGATACCTGCATGCATGCAGGTATATTCTGTTTACTCGTACGTACGTACGGGTAGCAGGTAGTATTATTGATTGCCTGTCCGTCCGTACGAGGGGCAGCGTGTAGTGTATATGTGCAGTGGTATGTGTTGTTTTAACTACCTGTGTACATGTATGGTTATTATGGTCTGACAATTACCCATGAACAACTGAACTGGCATGACGATTGCCCCCTCCCCTCTCGGGACTACCAGGATCAATTAGAGAGACATCTATTTTTTTTTTCGCCAACCCGTCGCTGGCCGCCGTGATCCGTCAAGAGAGAGAAGGGCGGAAAAACAGGCGAAGGTGGTCACGGCCTGACCATATGGTTCTGGACGCCGGGCCGCACCGTCAAGACAACACGTTCGAAGCTGTCTCCCCTCCTCTTGGAATCTAATTGATGGGAGGGGGGAGGTGGGTTTTTTTTCCCCCTTCTCTCTCTTCTTTCTCGACTCACCTCGGGGGTTCGACTCGTGTCTCGCTCACATTAGGTGTTGGGTAGCATTCCATTCCATTGATTCACATCTCGGGGACCTCCACAGCAGACTAGTACATGTCGTTAGGGTAGAGAAGCCGTATCCTCCTCTCTTCCTCCTCGTTATGCCCGAAATATATCAAAGACAGGGGTGGGGAGCGACCCTTGAGGAGGAGGCTGATTTCTTGAACCCTGGGGGGATGAGGGGGGGAGCAGAGTCGCATTATCTCGAGTTCCCTTTCCCCTCCCTCCCTCCCCCCCCCCCCCCCCCCCCCCCCCCCCCCACACACACACACGAGACAGAGCACACCCTCTTCTCTTCAGTCTCTTGGGCTCTCTCTT